CCCCAAAACCCCAAAACCCCAAAACCCCAAAACCCCAAAACCCCAAATAGATAAATTTGGGTTGAAATTTGATGAGCTATAAAATAAATATGGAATTAGGAAAATCAAGCCCGAGTTATGTAAGTCCTCACAAAATAACCACTTAGGCTGGAAATGACAATGAAATGGATAAAAATGAGCCTTTAGAGGCCAGACTTAAGGGTAGAGCAAGGTTCTCTCCCATCCCAGTGGATGAATTAAGCGTCTTGGTTATTTCGAAACCATTTGACCAAGAATGTAATGAGTGCTTTATTGAGGTCCTTTCATTACTGAAGAAATATGAAGTTAAAATTTATACCACAAAATCATCACTAGAGGCAATAAAGGATGACCCTATTGTGAAAACAAAAGTGAAACCTCTTGTTTTCTCTCAAGATGTTGAGATAAATAGGATCATTACCCTAGGGGGAGATGGAACGATCCTCTTCGCTATTAAATTGTTCTACAACAAGAAGGTCCCTCCAATGATCAGCTTCGGAATGGGCTCTGTAGGCTACCTTTGCGCATTTGATAGCCAAGATGTCACTGGAACTTTAGTAGAACTTCTAAATCTACAGGCCATGGGAAAGAACGACCATATTAGTGACATCGACTTAATTAGGCCAATTAAAACTACAGATCCACCTCCAATTGTCGATCATAAGGATAGGCTAAAGGTAACAATGACTTCTAATAGCAAGAAGGAGACCTTCATGGTCACCTCAACTATCTTTGAAGAAGGAGAAAAAGAGTTTGACTCTGGAGCCTCCATTGGCGCCCTGAATGAATTTGTACTCGAATCAGAGTCATTTTATCTCCCTTTCACATGTGGGTTATATGTTAATGAAACTTTTCTGACAGATATTTCCGCATGTGGTCTTATCATATCAACTTCGACAGGATCAACTGCCTACGGCATGTCGGCAGGTGGGAGCATCGTACAGGCTGGAGTCGAAGCAATATGTATCTCAGCTGTGAACCCCTCATCTATCTCCTTCAGGCCTCTAATTCTTCCATTTAATTGAAAGATTGCCCTGAAAATTCCGAAAGGAAAGAACGAAAATAGTGTGAGAGGAGTTGTTGACGGAGACTTCAAATTCATGTGAACTGACGAAGATGAAATCACTATTGAAGGATCTTCAGACCCTATTCCCTTCGTATCGAAGGAGGAAGACGACCCAATGACCAGCTGGATAAAAAGAGTTTCATCCACTGTTCTAAACTATTAATTTTATTATATTTGCCAAATTCTTTAGATTCGGGGTTTTGGGGTTTTGGGGTTTTGGGGTTTTGGGGTTTTGGGG